CTTTTGATTGCAGTGGTAGAGGCAGTTCTGAAAAACCTACTTCTGCTTTTAGACGGACATCTTAGGGGTGTTCTCTATGTACCTTAACACCCTGTGTGGTGACGTAGACGCCGAAGGTGTGCGCTATAAATCTCTCCTTCCTCCCCTGTACGTCTTATTCTGAGATGCATCTCGTCATCTGCAACTGGGAAGGCCTTCAGAGGCTGTCAGAATAGAAAAGGTGTCCTAGACGTTGCTGATGCGCGCCATGAACTATCTCTTGTCTGCCCTGCCCCCCGTTCGTTCTATTGGTAGATGTACCCCGTCATCCCTAACTAGACCTCTGGCTGCCAGAATAGACGAAACGTTTTCTACTGCTTCCGTTTATGCCCAGAGGTTGACTTCCCCTATTAAATTGTCAGCATCAGCCATCAGCACCTCTCGAACCCTAATTTCCTTCCCAAGGTGAAACTTTTATTTCTGAGGCTGCTTAATACTTTTCGTCGGGGTTTCAAGGAAGGGAGAGAATAGGTATCGATCTAAGGTTTTGGAAGAACGCCAGCATTTTAGCGTACTGAGGAAAAGGAAAGTATAAGCATCGATTTACCGAGCATTTGGGAAGCGTTCAGAACGCTAGACCAAGACTACCATGTCCTTACCTACATGGAATCCAACGCCCGTTGCCGCGCGCGCCAAAGCGGCCATTTACGATTCTCCCCTCGCCGCCCAGAACGCTCACTATATAAAGAATAAATTTTAATAATTTTCTTGTTCCTTTTCAGGGAAGGAAAGGTGTCGAATGGGTGATAGATCAATTGAAGAAGGAGTACACGGATATTTCATCGAAAATCTCTGCTGAAGTTCATGAGATGCAAGAGAAAGTAATGAATGCTTTCAAAAGTGCAGATAGTTCGACGACTCCGATAACGCCTTGATTGTTTCAAGAAGAAATAGATGATGATGCATTCTATGCCTATTGCTTAGGTAGAGCTAGGATTCGCACTAATCATATCATGTGATCTAGCTGTTCCTAGTTTGTTCCGTTGTTTAGAAATGTGTTATCACTTGAACTTATCGCAGTTGTCTGCCTTTTCCTACTCGTGAGCACAGATAGATAGTATTTAAGATTTACGTTTTTCACGGGTTGTGAATAGTTGTTAAAGAACTGCACTTTTCTCGTTTTGCAGATATAGTCATTGTTGCCTCGTTTCAATTCTCGATGGCCGTATAGTTTAGAGCAGACTAGGTGTTTTTGGACGAATTGTTCCACAAAGAATGCAGTCGGTTCCCGGTCTCCCTATCTACCTGCTGCAATAAACCTCAACAGCTGAACTCTCATCGTTGTCGAATTAATACCTATGTCGTTTTATGTTCAATTAGTTAATAAGATCTATAGGAGAGTGTCTGGAGGTGTAATGTCCGGGAGAGGGGCAAGAGAATCGTAAATGGCCGCTTGGCGCGCGCGGCAACGGGCGCGACGTCTCCTTAATTTGCGTTACTCTCTTTCGACTGGAGCATTGGATTCCATGTAGACAAGGACATGGTAGACGCTTGTCTATTTCTAGTCATACACAGTCTATTCTCAACCGGTACCACCTGAAATCGTCGTCATCGGACGGACGGCGTTCGCAGCGCAGACGGCAAACGGGCCGCCGGCGAGTTACGTTTCTTTTGCACATACCCGTACTGTTCCACGTGTAACACAAAACCTTATATGAAAGAAATTTATAAATGAATCTAATTCGACATATTTTCGTTAGGATCAATATGATCGCATAAATCAAACATATCCTGCGTAGATACGGTTTTCATCTGGAGAGGAAACAGTTCACCATCACGTCGAGTTCGAGCTCGTTGGTAAAGGATATCCGTTCTGGCGAGAAACGGTGACTTCTTTGGATTCCTTTGAATGCAGTACACAAGTCACAGGTCACATGCCCATGGCTATGTCGTATCTGAAAAGAGGGCAATTGTACAGAAGAATTCTGCTGATATGACATGGTGCAGAACCAAATGTTGTAAATAAAAACAAGAAAATTCTCGATAAAAAGAT